CAATCAATGTGATATGCTACGTGAACAAGTTGAAGAATAAAAATCATATCCATAGGTGCAGAAAAAGATTCTGGGTACAAAATTCAACTTTCATTTCTGATAAAAACTCTCCAGAAAGTGGGCATAGGGGGAACACACCTCAACATAATAAAGGCCACATGTGATAAGCCCACAGCTAACATCATACTCAATGGTGAAAATCTGAAAGCATTTCCTTTAAGAAAAGGAAGAAGACAAAGATGTTCACTGTCACCACTTTTGTTCAACACAGTAACAGCATTCCTAGCCATAGCAATCAGACAAGAAAAAGAAATAAAAGGAATCCAAGTTGGAAAGGAAGAAGTAAAACTGTCACTTTTTTGCAGATGAAATGATACTATACATAGAAAATTCTCATCAATGAATTCAGTAAAGTTGCAGGATACAAAATTAATATACAGAAATCTGTTGCATTTCTATACACTAGCAACAAACTATCATAAAGAGAAATTAAGGAAACAATCCCATTTACCATTCCATCAAAAAGAAGAAAATACCTGGGAAGAAACCTACCTAAGGAGGCAAAAGACCTGTACTCAGAAAACTATGGCACTAATAAAAGAAATTGATGATGACACAACAGATGGAAAGATATACTATGTTCTTGGACTGGAAGAATTAATATTGTTAAAATGATCCTATTACCCAAGGCAATGTACAGATTCAATGCAATCCCCATCAAAATACCAATGGCATTTTTCACAGAACTAGAACAAATAATTCTAGAATTTGTATGGAAACACAAAAGACCACTGATAGCCAATACAATCTTGAGAAGGAAGGACAGAACTGGAGGTATCACACGCCCTAATTTCAGACTATATTACAAAGCTACAGTAATCAAAATAGTTTGGTACTGGCAGCAAAACAGACATGTAGATCATTGGAACAGAACAGAGAGCTCAGAAATAAACCCACACACTTATGGTCAATTAACCTACAAAAAAGGAGGCAAGAATATACAGTGGAGAAAAGACAGTCTTGTCAGTAACTGGTGCTGGGAAAACTGTACATCTGTATCTAAAAGAATGAGATAGAATATTTTATTACACCATATACAAAAATAAACTCAAAATGAATTAAAACCAGAAATCATAAAACTCCTAGAAGAGAATGTAGACAGAACACTCTTTGACATAAATTGTAGCAATGGCTTTTTGGATCTGTCTCCTAAGGCAAAGGAAACAAAAGCAAAAATAAACAAATGGGACCTAAGTAAACTTAAAAGGTTTTGCAGAGCAAAGAAAACCAATGAGAAAACAAAAAGACAACCTACTTAATGGGAGAAAATATTTGCAAGTAATATGACCGAAAAGGGGTTAATATACAAAATATATAGCGCATCCAACTCAAAATCAAAAAACCAAATAACCGATTAAAAAAATGTGCAGAAGACTTGAATGGACATTTTTTCAAAGAAGATATACATAAGCTAACAGACACATGGAAAGATGCTAAACATCACTAATCATCAGAGAAACGCAAATCAAAACCACAACAAGCTATCATCTCACATCTGTGAGAATGGCTATCATCAAAAAGACCACAAAGGGGCTTCCCTGGTGGCACAGTGGTTGAGAGTCTGCCTGCTAATGCAGGGGAGACGGGTTTGAGCCCTGGTCTGGGAGGATCCCACATGCCGCGAAGCAACTGGGCCTGTGAGCCACAACTACTGAGCCTGCGCGTCTGGAGCCTGTGCTCCACAACAAGAGAGGCCGCGATAGTGAGAGGCCCACACACTGCGATGAAGAGTGGTCCCCGCTTGCCACAATTAGAGAAGGCCCTCGCACAGAAACTAAGACCCAACACAGCAAAATTAAATTAATTATTTAATAAACTCCTACCCTCAACATCTTAAAAAAAAAAAAAAAAAGACCACAAATAACAAATGTTAGTGAGGATGTGAAGTAAAGGGAACTCTCATACACTGTTGGTGGGAATGTAAATTGGTGCAAACACTGTGGAATACAGTATGAGGTTCGTCAAAAAACTAAAAATAGAACTATCACATGATCTAGTCATTTCACTCCTGAGTATATATTGAAGAAATGAAAATACTACTTCAAAAAGATACACATACCCCAATGCTTGTAGCAGCATTATTTACAATAGCCAAGATATGGAAGCAAAGTTGTGTTCATCAACAGATGAATGGATAAAGAGGATGTGGTATATTTACACACAATAGAATATTACTCATCTATTAAAAAGAAAGAAATTTTGCCATTTGCAACAATATGGATGGACTTGGAAGGTATTATGCTTAATGAAGTAAGTCAGGGAAAGACAAATACTGCATGTTATCACTTACCTGTGTAATATAAAAAGTGAAATGAACTAGTGAATATAACAAAAGTAGAGTCACATATATAGAGAACAAACTAGTGGTTACCAGTGGAGATAGCAAGAGGGCAAGGGACAAGAGAGGGATAGGCAATTAAGAGGTATCAACTACTATGTATAAAATATATAAGCTACATGGGTATATTGTGCAGCACAGGGAATATTGCCAATATTTTATAATAACAATAAATGTAGCATAATCCTTATAAAAATTATTAATCACTATGTTGTATACCTGAAACATATAATTTTATAAATCAACTATACCTCAATAAAAAAACACATGACAGAACTGAAAAAAAAATTGTTGATTTTGAATTTAGGGAAATCACCTAGAACACTAAACAGAATATAAAATATACATAAAAGTCCAGTTAAGAAACATGGAACAATTTAGACACAGAAAATTTAGAATGGGGGAGAGTCAGTATCTGAAGAAAAAAATTGTCTAGAACTTTTCCAAAATTGAAGAAAGGTATGAGTCTTCACACTGAAAGAAAATACTGGGTCCAGCTCATGATTTAAAAAAAAATCTCTACCAGAATACATTATAACAAAATAACAACTCTAAGGACAAGGAATACATGTACAGGCTATGTTAGGCAGAATTCTAACAATGGCTATGTTAGGCAGAATTCTAAGATTCCCATTCCTTGGTTACTCAAACACTTTTCAAAGTACTGCTCTGAAAAGATTTTGCAAATGTAATTAAAGCTCCAAATCTGTTGGCCTTAAAATACAGAGATTATTTTGGTGGGCCTGACCCAATCAGGTCAGCTCTTTACAAGTAGAGTTTTCTCCTGCTGGTAGAGGAAAGAAATTAAGAGAGAGTCAAAGCCTTAGGAATACTTATATTACTCTTGTTTCTTTAAAGGTGAAGGGAGGTACATAAGTAGCAATGCAGGTGTCCTCTGGGAGACGGAGGGGCTCCAAGCAGACAGGCAACAAGGAAAGAGATACCTCAGACCTACAGCTGCAAGAAATTGGATTTTTCTTACAACCCAAATGAGCTATGATCCCAGCCTGGCCTTCAGGCCTTCAGGTCAGACTTGTGACAACCCAGCCAAATCCACCTGGATTTCTGACTTACAGAACTTGCTCATAGTAAATGAATGTTGTTTAAGTCACTGAGTGTGTGGTAATTTGTTATGCAGCAATAAGAATGCAATGACTAGGTAAAACTCCTATTAATCGTAAAGGAATAAATGAATCAACACACTAACAGAAGATTTATCATCAACAATAGTAAATGCCACACTACACTGACATATCTTCAAATAGCGAAGGCAAAATAACTCTCAGCATAGAAGTCCATACTACATAAACTCATACTCAAGAGTGAAAATAAAGATAATTTTAGGTGGATAAGATAAATAGTTTACTACACACAGACTCACTGATGGAAATTCTAAGAGAGGTACTTCACCAAAAGGGAGGTTGAACATTAAAAAAATGGAATTAAATTCAAAAAAGAATAGTGAGTAAATAAGTTACAAATATATAGTGAAATCCTAGTATGTTTTGATTAAATATAATAATGATAATGATGACTTATTTGTATCAGGTTAAAATTCAGGAGTAACTGAAAGCCAAATGATAATGCTATGGAAGAGTGAAGAAAAGAGTATAACGTTTAATGGTCTAAGATCCATAAATTGTTAGAAGAAGGTTATAAGTACTTTTATATCTAAAATTGTAACTTTATCTACATTTAATTTTAATAATTTAATAAATCATAATATAATAATTAAAGAATTAAAGAATATAACTAGAACATATAATGACCAAATTGATAGAAGGAAAGAAAAAACAATGAAAGCACAATCAATATGATGGAACACATGAAAGTAGAAAGAGAAAATACTGAAAAAGCATGATAAATAGAAAAAAACAAAACAAAATGGTAGAATTTAGTCTAAACATATCAGCAAACATATAAGTATATAAACATATTCAATTCAACTACTGAGAAACTCTTGAGGTTACATAGTTTAAAATTCCATTGGCAGGCTGTTTTCAGGAGACCAAATTAAATAAAAGGTTGAAAGTAAGGGGGTGAAAAGTTACATTAGATAATGTACTAGAATAGAATGTTGGTATAGCAGTTATAAAACAGTAAGGACAGAATTTATGGTTAAGAAATATTAACGGGGACAATATGCTATTTATTAATGATTAAAAGAAAAGCACAGCTAAGTCAGTGTAATTAGTTCTCATCAACCCAAAATTATTATAGAAATTTATACATGAGTTCTGTCATGTACAATCTATCAAATGTCAAGCATTTGCTTGTTTGTTTACCCAAGCAGTACATAAATATAACCCAAGTTGGGTAATTTCCAGGCACTATACATCCTTTTTCTTTACTAATTATACATATCCTGTCTTTTATTAGAGTCAGCCATTTTATTCCTTGTTTCCTCAGAGTAGACTTCCAATAAGTATTTATTAAATGAATAAAAGACTAATTTACTAGAAACTAAATTACTATATACTAGTAGCCTGGTTTTCAGTGGATTACTTTGCCAAACTTAGCTGTTCAAACAGTATCTAGACATTGTGAATTATTCATTCTTAATTTTCAACATGTATCTTAAGATGCCTTCCAATTTACCTACCTGCTAGCATTTCTGTGAGTGCTGCCTTCTGATCTGGATATTAAAAAAAAAAAGGAAAATAGTGTCCAAAGTTAGTCCTAAGAGCGCTTGCCAACTGCATAAATAAAAGTCAGGCCATTTCATAAGCAGTATTATCTCTTTTACAAGGTAAGTTACCAAAAAAGAAAATAATGTCCAAGGTCACTGAACAAAGATGCAAATAAATAACATTCTTATTTACTTATATACCTCATCCACAAAGAGTGCATTTCAAACTTGTACTAAAGAATTTATCAAGAAGGCACAAATTTTCTTTTCCCTTATCACTTCTAAACACAGAATATAGGTTTGACCCTGAATTCCTGATTCTGACCTTTATAGCCCAACTTTTAATTTTTTATTCATTGATAAAGAAATGCTACATTTTATAAGTTAAAACCCATACTGACTTCTAGACAATCTGACAGAATGAGCTGGTGGGACAATTCCCCTTTCCATTCCTCATAGAGGAGTGCTGAAAAAAAATAAGACAACAAGAGGTTAACTGAGGTTAACAACAAGAAAAGAATTCTCCTGGTGCTAGTAAAAAATGAAGAAACTGAGAGTTCAAAGGGTAAACAGGAGATAAAAGTGAATGATTGCAGGGGTGTCTAAACCAGTGATATGACTTTGGGACTAGAGATTTAATAGCCATTCCTTAGAAGTTATGAGGCCTTTGCATGCAAGGAAACTAAGTGAGCTCCTTAACTGGAGCCATTTAACCTGGGAGCCATGAATGTCCATACCACCCATTACACAGGGATAGTAAAAATTCTGACCAGTGGCCTTAGGAATGCAGCAGGGAAAGGGGGATATGCAACAGGAATAGATGGGGGAAAATGCATCACTGCAGAGTCCCAAGCCTACAAAAAATGTACTTTCAGGGCCCCAGTCACACTCCTACAAATTCTTGAACACCATGCATAGCAGTTGCTCCAAATATTTTTGCTTTAAAAGAAGCAAAAATGAAACCACCCACATGTGTATGTCTTCAACACAGGGCATGCAGAATTCTCATGGGAAAAGCACAGACACTGAAAGGAAAAGACACTGAAGAGAAAAGAAGTTTGTACAATTACAAACCCCTAATAGATAATGTCAACAGCCAGAGCAAAACAATGAGTTCACACACCAAGAAATACAAATGATTAAAAAACTTGGAGAACATTTAGAATCTCCATAGAGATTTCTGCAAGAATAGAATCCATAAGTCTAGAACAGGACAGAGAAGGAAGAATTGGTGAAATGAGAGTGATCTGAGGAAATGTGAGATGGAGAGAGAGCTATGAAAGTGCAGTTACAAACCATAAAGACACACTTCCAATTCCGGTCAAGATGGAGTAACAGACTGGATTTACCCTCCTGCCTGAAACAAATGAATATCTGGACAAAATATATTAAATGCTGGTTTTCAGACACTGAATATTAGGCAGGATAGTGATCTATGAGAGAAGGGAATAAAGGTGAGACCTGTGATTGCCCCTTGTTACTGCCTGAGGAGAGTTGCCATCCTGTAGCACAGCAAGGGAAACCCAGGCAAAGCCAGAAGTCTCCCTGAATTGAGGTAATAGGGTCTGGGGATGCCAAGGCAGCTACACTTCTCAGGGCAGAATACCAGAGAAGAAAGGAGGTGCACAGAGAACTCCTGATATTTGTGGAGGGTCCTCTTTGAGTGTTCTGCAGAGTACCAATCACTGAATGCAAGTGAAGAAACTCCCTGAGCCAGAGAAAAATTATTAGAAATTAATAAAGGAAGCAATCTCTTGTACTCATATAGGAACAGGAATAGTTTGTGTTCCCACCATCTGAGTTGAAAAATCTCATAATTCACAGTGAGTTTGGTAGAGTTACATGGAAGGGTATTGCCTCTGTAGTGCTAACCATTCTGATCCTACTTAATGAAGCTTAAAAGCAATGGTGTTAGAACAACTGGATGTTCTTATGCAGGAAAAGAAAAACACTCAATTCATACCCCTACAAAACTTAGTTCAAATTGGATATAAGCCTAAATGCAAAACCTAAAACTATAAAACTTTTAAAAGAAAACATGAGAGAAAATCTTCATGAATTTTGGTTAGGCAAATATTTCCTAGATACAACATCAAAATCATGATCTATAAAAGAAGATATTGATACAGTGGATTTCATCAGAATTTTAAACTTTTGCTCTTTAAAAGAGTGAAAAGAAAAGCCTTAGACTAGAAGAATATAGTTGCAAATCATATATATAATAAAGCACTTGTATCCAGCATTTATAATGAACACTCAAAATACAATAATAAGAAAACAAACAATCCATTTTTTAAATGATCAAAAAGTTTTGACTGACTCAATAATAAAAAGACAACCCAATCAAAAAATTGGGTCTTTCAGTTGAAACTGCCATTTTCCAGTAATTTGTCAAAAAGACCAACACAAAAGAAAAGAGAAGAGGCACCTGCTATACATTCTCTAGACCTTTTAGAAAACATGGGGTTGTTCCTTTGGTCACATACATGGGAAATTACAAAAAAGTGATATTGTAGACAGCAAGGGAACTGGCACTATTTAAAAAAGAAATGTCCCACAAATGTTACACAAACTGGGAGTCTACAATGTTACCCAGTATGCTGTTGGCATTGTTGAAAACAAACGAATTAAGGGCAAGATTCTTGCCAAGAGAATTAATGTACTTATTGAGGATATTAAGCACTCTAAGAACCAAGACAGCTCCTTGAAATGAAGGAAATATGATCAGAAAAAGAAGGAAGCCAAAGGGAAAGGAACGTGGGTTTGACTGAAGCACCAGCCTGCTCCATCCAGAGAAGCACACTTTGTGAGAACCAGTGAGCTGGAACCCATTCCCTATGAAATCATGCCATAATAGGTGTAAAAATAAATAAATAAAAGACCTCCGGATTGTAATTTTAATTAATTAATTTAAAATGGGTAAAATATTTGAATACACACTTCTCCAAAGAAGATGTGCATCTGACAAATAACCACATGAAACAACTGTCAGCATCATTAGTCATTAGAGAAATGCAAATTAAAACCATAATGAGATGCCACTGCACACTGTCGGAATTGCTAAAATTAAAAAAATATATGACCATATAAGTGTTGGTGAGAATGTGGAGGAACTAGAACTCTCACATACTAGTGGTTGGAATATAAGATAGAAGAACTGCTTTGCAAAACAGTTTAGCTCTTTCTTTAGAAGTGAAACATATACCTACCATATTACCCCGTTGTTCCAGTCCTGGGTATTAACTAAGAAAAAGAACACATATGTTCACATAGAAATTTGTATGTAAATGTTCATAATGGCTTTATTTATAACAGCCAAAAACTGGAACGCATCCAAATAACTATCAATAGATGGAATGGATGAACAAATTATGGTATAATCATACAACTGAATACTTATCAGCAATAAAAGGAAAAAAAAATGATCACACAAGAACATGGATGGATTGCAAAATAATCATGGTGACTGAAGTAAATCAGACAAAAAGAAGAGTATATACTGTATGATTCCGTTTATATAAAATTCTAGAAAATGCAAGCTAAGAAGCAGATCAGCAGCAGTATGGGGATAGAGCAGGTGGAAGAGGCAGGAGTGGGGCTTACAAAGGGGCACGAGGAAATTTGGGGGCATGACAGATATCTTCATAATCTTGATCATGATGATGGTTTCATCAGTGTTACTTTTCAAATTATCAAAACATACAAAATTATACACTTAAAATATATGTAATTTACTGTGTGTCACTTATACCACGATAGAACTATACATTAGAAAAAGAACAAGCTATTGATACACATAACATCATGGATGAATGTCAAATGCATTATGCCAAGGGAAAGAAGACAGACTCAAAAGATTACATACTACAGTAAACGATTCCATTTATACAAAGTTCTGGAATTGGCAAAACTATAGGCAAAGAAGACATCTGTCAGTGCCAGGAGCTGAAGGTGGGGTGAGAGGGAATTCTGAGGTGATGAAATTGTTCTATGTTTTATCGAGGTTGTAGTAAGTGTACGCATTTGTTAAACTCATAGAATTACATAAACCAAAGAGATTAATTTTACTACATGTAAATTGTATCTCAGCTTTTAAAAGCTTCATTCTTAGTGTCAAAAGAAAAGAAGCAAAAGGAGAAGTATAAAGATGAGGAAGAGAACAACCATCACCATCTACCATGGAGGCTAGAATGGAAGGCCATAAAATACAGGGATTTCAGAAAAATAAAAGGGATAGAATGGGGAAGAGTCAATCATTAAAGAGATAATGACTGAGAATCTTCCAGAACTGAAGAAAGACATGATAATTGAAGATGATTGTGAATTCAGAGCTGGAAAAATAAAAACAAACTCATATCAGAACAAGTAATAATTCAGTAACATAATACCTTGGACAAAAAAAACTTGAGAAGCTAACTTAGAAAAAAAAGTGCAAGTATAAAGGTAAAAATGAATTAATTAATCTGACAGCAGACATCTCAACAACAGTAAATGCCAGAATTCAATGGCATCATAAAAGGGCTGACAGAAATAACTGTCCACCTAAAATTCTATACCCATATAGAATTTCAAGAGTGAAAGTGAAATAAAACCATTTCCAGGCATATAAGGCAAACAGATGGTTACACATAGACCATCACTGTAATAACTACCAAAGCAGGTACTTCTCCAAGAAGATTGAACCTAGAATGAAAAAAGCAGGATTCCAAAAAGAATGGCGATAATTATGGCATTGGTACACAAACCATGTGACAAAATTTCATAATATATACACACACATACTCAAAAATGAGTGTATGTATGTAAACACTGGTGAATATGAATAAGGTCTATAGTTTAATTGATAATATTGTACCAATATCAATTCTCTGGCTGTGAAAATGTGCTATGTTAATGTAAGAGGTTATTACTGAGAAAACCTAAGTGATGAGTACAATGGAATTCTGTGCTATTTTTGCAACTTTTTATATTTCTTAAATTATTTCGAAACTAAGTTTAAAAAAAGGGAACCATAGGGCTTCCCTGGTGGCGCAGTGGTTGAGAGTCCGCCTGCCGATGCAGGGGATGTGGGTTCGTGCCCTGGTCCGGGAGGATCCCACATGCTGCGGAGCAGCTGGGCCCGTGAGCCATGGCCCCCGGGCCTGCGTGTCTGGAGCCTGTGCTCCACAACGGAAGAGGCCACAGCAGGAGGCCCGCATACCGCAAAAAAAAAAAAAAAAAAAAAAAGGGAATCATAAAGAATCTGGGAAATATATCAGGAAATCCTAATAAGTATTAACTAAACATAATAATGATAAGAACACAATAACACAAAACTTATTTGGAGGGAACTGAAAAGCCAAATGACAAACAGATTGAAAAAGATAGGTTAGTGTTAAAGGGCTAAGATCCTTGTGTTATTCAGAAGATTATATACAATGATTAAATTAAGACATTATACAACATTAGCTACAAATGCTAAAAGTTAACAAAAATCATTAAAACAATAAAAACAGAATATAAAAACGTACAAAATAGTAGAAGAGAAAAAGAAAAGAAAAAGAAAAAGCACAATCAAGAAAATGGATTTTGAGAAAAGGAAAAAATGCAAAAAAAAAAAAAAAAGAGGATAGTAAGTAGGAAGAAAATAAGATGGTAAATTTCAATGTGAATATATGTCATCATATATTAAGCATATAAATGTAACAAACTCCACTACTGCATTTCATATAAAAGGCTGTTTATAATATACCAACTAAAATCAAAGAATGGTTGAAAATAAGGGATGAAAAATATGTAATAGGTAAGTCTAAATTTCAAAGAGCAAGTTGATATATAGCAATGTAAGAGTGAGAATAGAATTTAAGATACAATTATTAATGATATAAAGAAAATACACCAAGAATATATAACTATGTTGAACATTATGCATTTAGCCACTGCCTCAGAGTATATAAAGCAGAAGTCTCAACAATCGAAGAGAAAGCCATGACATACTGGAAAACCTTATTTGCCTCTCATAGAAAATGAATGATCAAATAGAGAAAAAATTTAAAAACCCAGTAAGTATAAAGATGACTTGAAACAGCACAATTTAAAAGTTTGTTCTAAAAACAAAGAAAAAAACATGCTGTATCACATTAATTGAAGCATGCGTATCAAGCATATATTTTTACAAAAAACTGACTTTCTGGTTCCAACATTTAAGAGTCTAGATCAGAGACAAAGCTCTCCCAATAAGGTAATAAAATTGGAAAATAACTTTTACAGCAACAAAAATAAATCATATAACTGAAAACTAAAGACCATGGTTTGTTCATGATTTAAATAAGAAATCGTGCTGGAAGTTTCTAATTTTTTAAACTGAATATCAGCTGTATCTTAAAAACTGGAGAATGTAGATGAAATGATATATAAGGGAGAAAGTTTTCACTTTAAAAGCATATTAGGAAAATAAGAAAAATTGAAAATTAATAAACAAAGCATTAGACTCCACAAAGGTAGAATTAAACACATAGCAAAGGTGAAGAGAGTAGCAAAGAGGAACAGACTGTAAGTTAAGGATAATAAACACAAGGAAATATATGGATCTCAACAGAACGACAAATTATATTTTTAAATTACTAATAAAATAGAAAAACCTCTGAGAAGACTGTTCATAAAAAAGAAAAAGGAAAAACAAACTTAGAATTAGAAGGATAAACATATGTATAAAGTATAAATATTTAAAATTATATATAATTCTAGATATGGCACAGGGATGTAGACACGTGTAGTAAAAATATGTGATACACACCAGCTTTCAGTGCAGAGGTTGTTCTCCACAGAGAGGGAGATGGGGGTTGCAGCTGTATATACAGCGGTTTATTTCATAAGAGAAACAAAATATTCATGTTTATTTCCAGTGGTGGGCAAATGGTTGTTTGTCACCTTGTTCTGTCTTTGCTTTTGAACTATATTTTTAAATAAAAATATTTTATATACTAAATTATACATTTGCTTTCTGAAGACTTTTCCCAGAGAATATTTTTAAAATTATTTCTTACATGAGGCAGCAATGCAAATTGAAACATTTCATTTGTGATATGGCTCATAAATCTGCATTACAAATAAATACTTCTGGTACTTCTCCTGTAGGTGACACAGATCACTGGGCATTTGAAAGCAATAGATATGGATACATTTTAGTTCTTCCTCTCTCAATTACCAAGGTGATGACATTGGCAAGTCATTAAAACCACATTCCAAAATTTTTGCATCTTTAAAATAAGGATATTCAAAACTATCTCAAATAATTAAATGAGATACTGATGTAGCATTCAAAATTCCTGTAAAATGTAAAGTATTATGGCTGCTCATAATATTTCCTTATATGTGACTAGATTTAAATGGTACTAAAGTTTAACTTCAGAACACAAATTCAATTTACTCGCTACTTTGGGGTTCCTCTTTCTTGCTGAACCACTTTTTCAAAGGCTTCCATGAAACAGCTACTATGGTTGCTACGACGAGAACAGGTAAAGCAATGTAGATACCCAAAAGCCACTGCTTCTTCCCAGCCTTCTCAAAACCTCTTTCCTTGATTAAACCTAAAAATAAAAATACATTAAAAAATCAGAGTAAAAAAATTAAGCTGCCTACTTTTACTTTCAAGTTACAGCAAACTAATTACAATGTTCTTAATTTTTACTGTTATTCAAGGAACATGGAAAAATAATAATAGAATCATAATACTTGAGACTATCTCTATAAACTCTCATTCTAAAAGAACAGAAACTAAGTTCCAGAAAGTTCCAATGTATTCTACATTATACAGCAGCTACAGCAAAATCCCACTATAAGTGGGACCCCAAAACTTCAGTGATATATAATCTGCTTGTAAGGTTATCCAACAAACTTGCATTGTTACAAGGTGCATTATCACAGAATCCCACTATATCTGTGCATATCCTGTTTTTCTTTATTAGACTGTTGGCTCTTTGACATTTAGGGATCTGTTTTTACATGCGGAGTCACTGCAGTGCTACTAAAACGTCACTGCCATAAAAATAGAGACTTGATTCCTAATCCTAATTCTGCAGCTAGTTAGCACCGGGTATTCTTTAAATTCCATGAGGAGTGGGACTTTGTTTTGCTTACTGTACATGCCTAGTGCCATATGATGAGCACCTGGTATATAGTAGGAGTTCAATAAATATTTGCTAAATCAATGAATGAATGACGAAAACTAAAGTCATGGTGAACAAACAGAATATTGTTTTAGCCCCTTCTGTCATCTCTTTAGCAGCAATTAATAGATTTTTATCATTTAAACTATAAACGCCAGACTAAAAGCTTATCTTCTATTTCCTTTATTTCTTCTATAACAGATACATATTAACAGTGCTGGACACAGGGTGTGTTGTTTGTATAGAGCTGAGACCACAGGATCAGGCATAAAAGGGGGAAAAGGTTGAAAGACAGTTTAAAGGAGAAAGTCAGACATAAGTAAATAAAAATTTTAAAAGATACCCTCAGCTTCAATCACATTCAAAATTAATATTAGGACAAAAAGCAAGATTAAGAAAGCATATTTGGCGTCTATTTCTTGAGGCAGCCTATTTACCTTTTAATTACAAATACTGGTTTCTTTCAAAGTGTCAAAAATCGAACTTTGTCTTTGCGAAGGTAAGCAATTTGAGAATTTTATTAACTGGATACAAGAAGAGAGAGATACTTGCCCTGTCCCCCAGGCAATCTGGAAGGTATTCTGGAGCGCGCTTGGCAATCTGGAGGGCTGTAGCCACTAGAACAGTTGCACGTCATCTCAGAAGTGCACACCTAGAATCATTTTTTTAATTCAAATGATCATTTAAAAATATTTTCTCATAGAAAGTAAAATTATCAGATGGATCATCAAGCTTACTTTTGTATTTTCATCTAGTGTAGTTTTATTTGATTTATTTAGAGAGAGAATTCTACAAATTGAATGCTTGGATTTTTAGCCTAAAGTGCACACATGCACACACACACGCTAAAAAGCAGCTGTAAAGTGAGGCTCACAATATTTGCACCTGGAAAATTTAACACCTTCAAATGTTCACCAGAAAATTTAGAGTGCAATTTCAGAAACACCTACATAAATTCTAATGAAAATGAGACCATTCCAGTGGTGTGTTAGAGCCAGCCAGTATCAGCTCCCAGGGCTGAGTGTGTAACATCTCTTCCCATCTCCAAGTTCAGTGATATCATGGGGTAGTTTGAAGTATTTGTACTTACAAATGAGGATTTTACCCTTCCTCACGCTAGTTGGTAAACATTTACTAGCATAATACTGCCCTTGACCAGGATCAGGTTTGTTTAATTTGTTAGCTTTTGTTTGTTTGATTTTTAAGCAAAGGTTTTTTTGTATTCCAAGAGGGCATCAGATAATTAATTTCTGTAATTAAATAATTAATAAGAGCAAACAACTTTATGGTGCTTACTATGTGTGAGTCTCTATTCTGAGCACTTATATAGATTCACTGATCAAATCCTCACAATAGCCCTATAAGGTTGGGACTATTATTATTCCTACTTTACAGATGAATAAACTGAGGCATAAATATTTAACTTGCCAAAGGTCACATGGCTAGTAAGTGATGGAGACAGGATTTAAACTGAAGCTATCTGGTTTCAGAGTCTCTGCCCTTGACCACTATGCTATGCTACTTCTCAAAATAATATAAAACATCTCTCAATTTCTAAGATCTCAATTTAAGAACATGAATCTAATTTCTTTATTTCATGGCTTAAATGTACAGGAAAAAAGTATTCTGTTTGGGGTATCCATTGCCTTAGCTCTATCACATCACCTTCATGTTGTTGTGTGTGTATGTATATGTCTGCTGTGAAATACCTCACAGAAATATTTCGTCCTTCTCAGGAGACACCATGTTGTCACTTTGTCATAATATTGTGTCGTTACTTTTGGATCACTTGGTTAAGGTGCTGTCTTCCAAGTTTTTTCCACTGTAAGTTACCATGCCTCCATTTGTAATTAATAAGCAATTTGTGAGGAGATACTTGTGAGATTATGAAAGTATCTGGGTCCTCGTAAAACTTTCACCCACTAGTTTTAGCATCCATTGATAATTATTTAACTCCATTATTCCTTCTATGTTGTTTATACTATAAAAAAGAGTTTTCCCATATCTCCATTTATCTATTCAGTTACTGTTATTGGTAAACATATTACTGATATAGTCAAAGGAGCTTTGACAAGGGTGCCAAGACCACTCAGTGGGGAAAGGAGAATCACTTCAGCAAATGGTGCTCGGAAAACTAGATACCCAATGCGAAAGAATGAAGTTGGACCCTTATCTCACACCATATATGAAGATTAACTCAAAATGGATTAAATACCTAAATGTAAGACCTAAGACTATAAAACGCCAAGAAGAAAACATAGGGGGAAAGCTTCGTAACATTGGACTTCACAATGATATCTTGGATATGACACTAAAAGCACAAGCAACAAAAGTAAAAATAGACAAATGGCTATACAACGAACTTAAAAACGTTTGTGCATCAAAGGAAACAATCAACAGAGTGAAAAGGCAACCTATAGAACAGAAAACTTGCAAACCATATATCTGATAAAGGGTTAATATCCAGAATATACAACGAAATCCTACAAGTCAACAAAAAAATCAAATAACCTAACTTTAAAATGGGCAAAGGACTTGAGTAGATATTTCTCCAAAGATGATATACAAATGGCCACCAAGAATATGAACAGATGCTCAACACCATTAATCATAAGAGAAATGCAAATGAAAATCACAGCAATAGAAACAACAGACAACTTTGCCTAAATATGCTATAAATGCCAGAATACATTATTGTGTTTACTTTAAAAAGTCAATTGTCTTCTTAAAAGTTTAAATGAAATACACTATTTTATATTTATCCACATCTTTTTCATTTCCAGCACTCTTCATTGCTTTGTGTAGATCCACATTTCCATGTGACATTATTTTCCTTCCATCTGAACATAGTTTAATATTTCCTTTAGTGCATATCTTCTAGCAACAAATTCTCTCAGATGTTTATATCTGAAAAAATTCTTTTATATCCTTAATTTTTGAAATATTTTCATTGGATATAGAACACTAAATGACAGGTTTTTTCTCACACTTAAATGACGTCATTTAATTTTTTTTGTCTTACATATTTTCTGATAAGAAGCCTGGAGTCATTCTTATCGTTGTTCCTCCAGATGCAATGTATCTTTCTCCTCCGACTACATTTAAAATATTCCCTTTATTAGGGAAAGCAAGTACAGCAAAAAGTTAATCACTGGTAAATCTAAGTGAAGGGTATGTGGATGTTCATTGTAATAGTCTTCAGTGTTTCTGTAGCTTTGAAATTGTTAGGGGAAAAAATGGGGACAAAAGAACATACTTTGCTTTCATGTTTGTTTCAGAATGAATAGGATTGACTGAACACTAATAATTTATCTTTCTATGACTAAAGCAACCACCTCTTTTATTAATTGGAAGCTACCTGTTTCAATCAACCTTGGTTGAGCAGAAATCACAGTATAGATATGGATTTTAGGCCTCAAATCTCTGTTCTTGGTCCTTTGTATATTTTTTATTGTCATTTATTATTGTGACAAGCTAAAGTTGAGCATTTGTTCTTGTGTTCAATATTGTTCGTGGGCATTTGAGACTACCTTCATGAATACATTGGTGTAGACTTAATCACTCAATGTCCCTTTTCAATGTAATAGTTTAACCATCACACACATAGCTATTTCAGTAAACCTCTTTATCTGAGAAATATGGTTAAGTGGTTATGGTCTTAAGATAATAGTAATGAACACATCTGCTATTTTTTTCTTCCCAGAATCTACACTATTCAGCTGGCAAAAGTATCTGAAATTTTCTTGGGGGAAATGAATCCTTTATAAATCGGCAGAGTGGTACTGTGGGATGTGACCCTGCCCAGCTTCCATGCATCACACTTTCCATGCCCAGAGGTTGGTGCATGAACCGGATCAGGCCAATTAGTCAATGTATTGGAACCCTTTAGAAAGAGAAGCTATTTGTCTCAGAGTTACTGCTGGTAGGATTTAAACTTAGAGCTGCTGAATGCCACTTGTATTACCACATGTGTGGAGAGTCTGCATGAAAGTGAATCCTAGAGGGAAGGGAGCCAAATCGAGGGATGGAGGGAGGCAGAATCCTGACAGCATCATCTGAGTCTTGGAATCTAGCCATGCTTGGGCTTTTCAGTTATGTGTATCAGTCAGTAATAATACTTCTTCTTGATACATTATTAGTTCTTGATTTTTATTTTCATTATTATATATCATTATTCATTAATAAATAAAAGTTGTTCTTCAGCCTAAAAACAAAAACTACTTTTATTGTTGATTTCAGTAATTTGATTACAAGGTGTCTTGGTATGTATCTGTGTTTTTCTGGCTTGAGATTTATTGAACTTCCTGGAACTTTGAGTTCATGCTTTATCAAATTTTGAAAATTCCTTAAAATTTTTTCTAGCCTCCCCTCTTTCTCTTCTTCTGCAACACTAATTACACATATGCTGAACCATTTGACAGCATCTAATGGGTCACTGATTCATTTTTTTTTCAGTCTTTTTTACGTTTTTTGTTTCAGTTTGAATAGTTTCTATTGCCTTATCTTTAAGTTCACTGACATTTTCTTCTGCTGTGTCAGTTGTGCTGTTAATACCATCCAAAGAATTTTTCATTTCAGTTATGGTGTTTTCCTATTTCTATAAATTCCATGTGCTTTTTTATATCTCCCAGTTCTCTTCTTACCATGTTAATGTTTTATTTTAAATCCATGAGAATATTTGTAATAGCTTTTTAAAATCCCTGTCAACTAATAACATCATTTTTAACACTTCCAGGTCTATTTCTATTGACTAAATTTTTCTCCTGGTATGGGTCACATAATTCTCCTTCTTCGTATGTTTGTTACTTTCTAAAATGCTATGATGGATACTGTGAATATCATATTGTAGAATGTGTTGTTTTCCTTTAAAGATTGCCACATTGGTGCTGGCAGGCAGTTAAGTTACTTGCAGAACAGCTTGATCAAGGCTTGTTTTTAAACTTTGATAGGGCAGATTTAGAATATCCTTTTCCCTAAGGCTAATTTAGTGCTACTAGTAAAGCATGACTCTTCTGGGATCTCTAGTGATTGTCCCAGGTTTTCAAAATCACCTCTTCACTCTGACTGACTGTAACTCAAATTAACTCCCAGCCTTCTGTAAACATTGATAATTGTTCAGCTTAACAGTTCTGTCATTCTTTCCCTGGTCTTGTGTGGTTTGATCTTCATCAATAGACCCATAAGGACCTCTATGCAAATTTCTGAACCTCTTCCTGCATATCAATGCTTCTTCCCTGGAACACTGCCTCACAGATTCCAACCACTTTAATCTCTCATAATGCCAGTCTCCTTCTCCTCAAGCTACTGAGCCTGCGCTCAGTCCAGATCCCACCCAAGGCGCTGCAGTCCAACACCTGACAATAGGAGGAGAGCCAGGGAAATCACATCCCTTTTGTTTCCCTTCTCTCAAGGAATAAAGCCCTATGCTGCCTATTGTCTAATATCTGAAAACTGTTGTTTCATACATTTCTTTCCAGCTTTCTACTTGTTTATGGCAAAACTGTGATTAAAGATCCATGTATTCTTCCATACTCCAAAAAATCCATGAACTTCTGAGAAAAGGGTAATTCTTTTAAAAACAGCAGATAGTAGCCTCACTGTTTCTCCACTGTGTCTCTCCTCATGTGAAAAAAATACAGTGTGTACCCCTAG